GCTGCCCCCACAGGACTCCCTGTGCCTCCACGTGCTGCAGACCCACCCAGCCAGTCTCATGAGCGAGAGGAAGCTGTCAGGCCCAGATGCCACCTCCTCCCGGCTCTGAGTTCTCTCTTGGGTCAAGTTTCGGGGAGCCCAGCTGAGCTAGCCTGTGTGCACTGTCCCCTGTGGGGCTGCAGTGGTCTGTGGACATCCGTGGCTCCAAAGCCACGTCAAGCCCTCTGCCCTTGCTGCCCGCTGCACTGCAGCCCACCACCCTGTGGCCCTTCCCACCCATCCCGGGCTGCAGGACTCCTCGGCGACCTACTGCAGACATATGGGGGGATTCCCCTGCTCAGTGTAGGCCAATTTTTCTATGGGGACCCCGCAGTAAGCTAGGGGTTGTCAGCTGTGCAGGGGCGGCCTGAGTCTTCTTCAGGGCCTTGTGTAGGCTGAGGTGCTGAATGCAGGATTGTCATCTTTGTCACTGGTGGGCAGGGCTCCGCACACAGCAGATCTAACACCACTTCTGATGTTCACACACTTGACGGCTTGGACCTCTGCGCTCTTGCATTGCCTGGGCTCCATCTTCTCCAAGCAGGGAGGCTGAGGTTGGGTGCCCTGGACTCCAGGGCCCTCTAGTTAGGAGGCCAGACCAGTAGGCCAGGGCCTGAGGGTTTGAGGGGATGATGAGGAGCGTGTGTGGGGGTGCAAGCTCACCTCCTGTACCAGCAGGCCTGGGGACTCTGTGCTCTCCAGAAATGGCTGCTTCTCTGACTGCTAATTCCACTGGAAGCTCCCAGCCAGCTGTCGCATCCCCATGCCTGCCTTCTCTGTTCATTCCTTGCTCAGGCACAGCCTGTACCTATGGATCAGTGAAGATGGGCCAGGCCCTTCCAGGGGGTCTGGATGGTGGGACAGCTCCAAGGGGACTCTGACTACATGAAGGTGAGGTCAGCATCCAAGACATGGTGGGGGCAGTGTGTGTCGGGCTGGTCAGGGAGGAGTTACTTAGAAGCAGGGACCTGAAGGCTGCATAGAGTTGGCCTCGCAGGTTGGGGGTGGGTGAGGATGGCATGGTCAGGGTCTAGGGAGAGTGATCTTGTAAAGTCTCTAGACATCTAAGGAGAGAAAACGCAGCAGATCTAGGGTGCTGCAAGAGGGTTAGAGGTGGGGCCTGGCATGGGGGAGAGTGGAGCCTGAGGAGGTGGAAACAGCAGGCTCTGGTCCGGGGAGGGCTTTCGGGCGAGGTAAGGAAGTTGCCTTTTGTCCATGGAATGTGGGCTTCCCCAGCATCTTCCCTGGGTTTTCTTCCTTTCTTCCTTGAGCCCAGCAGCTGCAGCCTCCTCCGGTAGGTCCTGCCCTCCCTTCCTGACCAACAGGAGAGTCTCTCCTCCCCTCGGGCCCGTGGCCTTAAGACCCATGGTGGGAGACATGGAGTCACTCACTCTTGCAGTCAGCTTCCCACGGCCCTCAGCCCCTCCACACTGGCCCCTCTGCCTGGGGCTGGGAGCCCTGCCGGGGTCAGCACGTGCCTGCCGGATGGTCGGCACCGGCCGTACCGCTCAGGTGCAATGTCTGTCTCAGTCTGCGCCTCCACTTACTTTCCATTGTCATCCTGAGAGGGCCACTCGCTCGGCATCCAGTCAGTGCGTGTGAAGTCTGATAAGCTGTGTGTGGAACGTGCTGGAAACTGGTAGTGACAAATCCCACTGCAGATCAGAAACATTTGACTTGGTGCTTTTGAAAAATGTGATGTCCTAGATACATCCTGGACTCCAGGCTGAGATTTAAGCTGCTTTTTTGAGAGGATCATGCTCACTTGGTTTAGAAAAAGTTTCCGTTGTTGTTGTCTAACTGTTTCTTGGAAACAGGATAATTCCTTTAGGGTAGGGGAACCATGTATGAGCTAATACAGTAATGTTTATTTTCCCCTAGTGCCTAGACTGTAAATGCCAGTCATTGGCCAATTGTTTTTCTGGGAGACATAGTGACATCATCAATGATGGTGGTGTTATAGCAAAGAAATAAAAGCCATGTTAATTTCAAGGTCCATTAAAACTCCAGTTTTATAAAAAATCAATATTTCCTGAACATAAATGGGAAAAAAATTGGTAGAAGACGAAATTCTATTTCAAGCTTTTAAGTCTATGACCAGCAAGGGATGAAAATATTGGGGGAAAAAAAAATCTTTGAGTATTTGATCATCTCCCACAGAAATACTATGTACAAGTTCAGGTTATTTAAGATAATTGTTTGTAGAAGCAAATTGATGTCACGGGCATTGGATTTTGACGGAAAGTCAACTTTTGCCAGTGGAAATGTCTAATATTATAGAAACTGTAAGCAAATTAGGAGACATTATCTCTGCTGGCTTAACCTGTTCTTTAGAAAGGAGGAAATGGTCTTCTGCCCAGGTACCTTGTTTTAGCTCTGCTGTTCTTCCCACAGCAGTCAAATAACACCATCTTGAGTGGAGAGGAAAATGAATGAGGGACCAGAAGAAAGAGCTTGGTGTCCTGGAGGATTTCATCTTTATAGATGGAAACTGATGTAAGACTCTTCCGAACTGTTTGAAAGGTGTTATTGCATCCCTTGGTTGGTTGTTGGAGGTTTTTCTTGTGTGACACCAGCATGAGGCTATGTGCAGGACTGTGCATTATACAGAGCAGTTAGGTGTGAATTGGATCACACACGTGCACAGGGGCCATGCCACGTACAGCCCTGGGCAGGTCAATCATCTCCAGAAAGCTGTTGGACCTACAGATAAGCTGAGCCTCTCCCTTACAGAGACAGTCCAGCCTGAAACCCCAGAGACCAGGTAAGAACTCAGTCCAGACTCAGCCACGTGTTATTATTGGCAAACAAAAGGAGCATTAACTTCTCTGTACGGTCCACAAGTAAGAGTTAAGAGTTGGGACTCAAAAATCCCTCCTCAAAAAAAAAACAAAACTCTTTTGCATCATCCAGATTTTCTTCCCTTCTGAAATGAAAGTAGACATGCTTACTTAAACACATCTAAAAGCCCACATAGGTATTTCACAGTTTAGATAATTAATATGCAATTTTAAAATGATTCTTTTAAAAAAAATTTATTTATTTTACTTTAGGTACATACTATGTCTGGCATTTCTCCCCATGTTATCCGTCCCCACCCTCCCCTCCCTCCCCAGCCCCCGCTATCTCTCCCCTACTCCCCCAGCTGCCCCCAGTGTGTGATGTTCCTCTCCCTGAGTCCATGTGTTCTCTCGTTGTTCAATACCCACCTACGAGTGAGAACATACGGTGTTTGGCTTTCTGTTCTTGTGTCAGTTTGCTGAGAATTATTCTTAAAATATGTCTCGGCAGTGAGCACATTGTGTCAGTGGAACGAAGAGAGAGCAGCGTCAAGCAAGGTTGACTTCATCCTTGCTGGTCACATAGGGCTTGGGCTTGTTGGGTGTGGGCTTGTTGAACCCTTGTGGTGTTCGGACGTCAAAAGCCCTTTCTGGTGTCTGACTTGTAGCTGACTCCAGGAGTCTCTGCCCTCTGAAAGGAGATGTGCTATGAGAAACCAGTCTGCTTTCAACAAATCATCCTCCCACTTCTGAGACTAGACCTTTCCTTTGTACAAAGAGACTCAGCTCCATGCAATTTGCCTCCAGAAGACTGAAACACCAATTTCAAGCCCACCTAGGGGCAGGCATTGCCACTTCTTTCGAGTACATTTTCCTTGCTTTGTTCTGGTGAACTTCTTGTTGTCATGTGCCCTGGGAAGTCCTTCCAGGACCTAATGGATTCGGGCTGGGTTGCCCAGGTAGGTACTCAGGCTGAGAGAGGCCTGGCTTCACTGGCTGCTCTTGTCTTTCTTGAGAAAAGTGTCTCTGCTGAGATGGGAGTTTCTTCTGCAGCTATTGGTGAGCCCCGACTCTCTTGTTTCTTAAAGGATGCCAGGTCCAGACCCTCGGTCATGACTGACATGTGATCTGGTAGAAATGGGCTCATTCTCCTTCTGTGAACCTCCTGCCTTTTCTTCCTGGGTCCATTCGGCTTTCCTTTTCCAAGGATCATCCCCATCTCCAAGTCCCGAGGCAGGGGCCCCATTCCTCTGTGTCTGTTTCAGTTGTTATTGCCTCTCTAAATAGCATTTGCGTAGGTCAGAACTCAAAACCTTCACTGAGTCGTCCACACATCTTTTCAATCAGAAGAATTTGATTTGGTTTTCTTTGGAATTTTGCGTTTGTCACCAACAGTTTCAACAGCCGAACATCCAAGGCGAGGCTGTGCTGTGTCAGCCCCGGTGCCGGGGATGGTTGGCGACAACAGGCAGGAGACACAAAGCTGATTGGTCCAGTCCCTCTCCAACTCCTCCGCCACCAAGGAAAGAGAAATCTCCCCATTTTCTTCTGTTTTGTGAAAGGCTTGCCTTAGAAATTCTGGGGGAGGGAAATTTTAGCAATGCTTAGATTTTGAAGAGCAGATGTTTTTGAACAATTCCCTCCAAATGGTAATCCTGAACTTTGATAATTAGGTGCAGATGATAAAATTCAACATGAAAAACCTGTATATTTTGCTATCCTTGGATTTCAGCGAGGCCGAATCCTTGCATGGCTCTATCAGATTGCCTCTGAAGTCCCTGGCACAACAGAGGTAACAGAGAAGAGAATAAAGAGAAAAAGAAAAGGCCAATTTCAAAGCTGTTCTATGCTTGTGTCTATGGAACACGAACCAAAGTTTGGAGAGAAAATAAGGGGTGTGTGTGGGTGTGGATGGGATTTTCTTAATCTGAGAAACTGGTTCAGGCCCATGAAACATTTCATCAAACGTTAATGTGAAACCGATGTGCTCATCAATATTTATGAGCAGTTCTCTGACCAAATCCTCCCAACCAATTGTGGGTCCCTCTCCTCTCTCTCTTCTCTCACTGGTGCAGTCAAATAATAAAGCAAAGGAAAACAGTGGAGCCAAGTGATACAGGATGACTTCAACGTGGTTTTTTTTTCCTCTGTAAACATGCTTTCTGTCTTCATTTTAGGTATTTATTTTTCACTTGAAAGATTTGCATTCCCCTCGAAACCTGGAAACAACTTAGTAAGTATTTACAATTTGTGTTATATCCCATCCACGTTCTCTATACCACAAGTGAATGAAGTTCAGAAGAAGGAAATTTGGAAGAGACAGAGACTGCTGTGTTCCACACACCTTCTCTAATGTCACAACTTCCTTGAGAGGTGGGTAGGATGATGACAGTCGTCCTTTTTAAACACGGAAGTGGAGGTTTGGAGAGCAGCAGGAATTCTGGTAGTAACTGGCAGAGCCAGATCTGGACTTGAGTTGGAAGCCATCAGAACCCTATCCTTAACCCCAGTTCATGGCAGGACTGTGTTGATCTTGGGTGGCTCAACCTGCTGATTGCAGAGAACACATTTCCTTTCTCTTCTAGTGCATAGCAGTTACAAACCTCCCGGAGACCAGTGGGAGTTTCTCACACTGCCCAGAATAAAGAGGGTTATTTAGGCATCCTCCCTGGAGATCTTAAGTGTCCAGAGAGCAGAGTAGAGTTGGGTTGGAGAGAGAACTATGCCTGGATATCTTTTCTCCTTCCCAATACCAAGAAGGCACGTGGAAAATGTTAGCTGCCTGGAATAGAGCCATGGAGGGAAGAGAAGCAGCAGTAAGACACCCTCCAGCCCCAACCTCCTGTCCCTCCCAGCAGCAGGGCTGAGGCAGGGCCCAGAGCACCTGCAACTCGGGTGCCGAGTGGGTGATTCCTTGCACGTGAGCAAGAGTCAGATGGCTGTGTTGTCCTGAGAACATCCCCAGGAATGAACCGCTGTCTTGGATGTCAGTGCCTGCACCTTGTTTCACACCATCTCTGTAATCCCAGAACTTCTGAACTTGATTTCATAAACCTTTTAAAGGAGGAGGGAAGCTCAGCCAAACCTGAGGCTCATTACTCATAAAAACTAATTTTTAAATACACAATTCTAGCATAAATTTACATATAAAGAAGTATCTTGGTTGGAAAAAAATCCTGTTATCATAACATTGTGGTTGTCATACAAAACCACAGGAGGCACATATGCAAAAGTTATGGTTGCTCAGCAACCATAATTGCCCAGTTTAATGCCTAAGCAGATAGACTGATGGCTGGAATAAAGTGTGGGGAAGATCCCACGTCTCCTACCAACAGAGTGAGTAGGTGATCGCTCAGCCCTCCCAGACAACACACACAAGGAGGAGAATTATTAAATGGATGGAAATATATTCTGAGCTCTCCAACTCTGCACTGCACTTGTGGCAGTTATTTCTGCCCTAAATAAGGATGTTTCCATTTCGCCCACCCTTGTTATGACACATGTGAACCCGGAAGCGTCAGCGCTGGCAATGCTTGTGTAGCTCTAAGTGTGGGGCACAGGACGGGGGACTGCGACTCACTGGCAGCCACTATGGTGTGCACTGTCGTGTCTCTGGCAGGAGAGCCTGAGATGGTCTCCCTGACAAGATTACTGAGATGAGACAAGGGGAATGGCCTTCATTATCCTGTAGAGGACAAGCTCTGGGAAGCAGGGACCAGCAAAACTAGCAGTTGATACCAGGAGAAAAAATCCCAAGAAACCCAGTATTTATCCATCAGTCCTCCCTACATCCCTTTCATTCAAAGTTCTGCACGCATTCCTTAGGCCTTGGAGGTAAAATCTGAACAATGCTCAATACTTTGACCATCTATTCCTGAAAGGATGCTGTAGGTGAGGAGTGGTAAATGCTAATGAGTGTGCTCTTCCTCGTGGACTTGATAAATTGCCTCTGCTCTCCTGCTGTGTGTGATCTCCTGGGACAATGTCCAAATAACCCCTTTATTACAGGGAAGTGTGAGAAGCTGCTGCTGGTCCCCAGGGTATTTCCAGTCCCCATGCACTGGAAGGGAGAGGGAGGGGACATGTCCCCTGCACCTCAGGTAGGCAAAGCCACCCAAGATCAGCACAGTCCTACCACGAATCAGCAGGAGACCCAGGGTGAAGCATAGGGCTCTGACGTTCCTCCAATCCAAGTTGAGCTCTGACTCTGCTAGTTAGTAGGAGAATTACTGATGCTTTTCGAAGATGCTCTTCCTCATCTATTTTTGAATATCTACAACAGATCAAGCCTAGAAGGTAAAGAATGGGGGGAAAAAAAAAACAGAGCAATGTAAAGAAAAAGTCTTGCTCCGGTATGCTTATATGCAAACTAATACACATCCTCAACTTCACTGATAATGAAGATGATAACATTTCATTTCTAAATTCCCTCCTTGGATTTTTGCAGGGTTTCCCCAAAAGGAGTGCCACGAAAGACAGATGGCTTCATCCTGAGGAATATTGATCAGTGGCTGCACCACTCTGTCTTTCCCGGGGCTGGCCCTTGCAACCAGGTGATGTGGTCTGTGTTTATTATGACATTTACTCACCTCCACCTTCTTTTGTGGCAGAAGAGATTTCCCCCTGGGGAGGGATGGCAACCCAGGGCTTTTTCTCATGCTTAATGCAGCTGAGATAGAAGACATGGAGCAAGCTGTGCTACTCAATTCACCATGGTGCAAAGCAGCAGTGCTACTATTATTTTGCCAATAATAACACGTGGCTGAGTCTGGACTGAGATCTTACCTGGTCTCTGGTCTCTGGGGGTTCAAGCTGGACTGTCTCTGTAAGGGAGAGGCTCAGCTTCTCTGCAGCACTATTTTGCAATGGATCAGGGTGGATGTGGAGGCTAGAGTGGCAACTGCCATGTTCTTGCTTTCTACCCTACCCTTCAAGACAGTGCTGCTTTTAGGTGCAGGTGGAGTGCTGCTTAGACAGCATGTCTTGGAAAGGAATTACTAGAGCATCCTTGAGGAATCATTTCCATGCCTAAGTAATGGAAACATTATTAGCAATATGCAGACTCTTATAAAGTAAACCCAGTGTCTGATTGGGCTCCCTGTTAGGAATGAGGAAGGATCCCTAAAGCAGCCGCATTTACCTGGGGGAATTCAGTGTTCTCAGGCTGAATGACCTGCTCCTTTCTTGGCTTCACTAAAATATCTGTTCATATGATTTTTTTTTTATAGAAAGCCTATCACATTGTGCTGTGAAATGGATTTTTTTTTCTAGATCTACAATAATGGAACATTTTAGAAAGCCTAAAAAAGTGAAAAGAAATGAATTAAAATCACCCACTAACATTGTACTTCTGCAATTCAGCGATGACACTATAATACTTACCCATGTGTATTTTTCATAGTATACTTTAAAAACATGCCTTTCTTTTTTATGACACATTAAATGTTGTAATGCACAGGCCTTGTCTGTATAGATGTTCAGTAAACAAATACTGTTAGAGGAATAATATTTAACATAAGTATTATGTTAGAGGAATGAGTGAAGATACCCATTAGTTTTTATCAGTGATCTTTTCCATTATTTTGCTAAGAGTTTTAGTATTTCAACTTTACTAAAACACGCATAGCTACAATGTCAGTCGGGAAGCATACATTGAAATGCTTCTCATAACCAGAGCGATAAATATTATCTAAATAGTGTGCTTAGCTCACTGGACACATTACTTTCCTTCTTTTATGTCAAAGAAACTTAGCATGCAGCCCAAGCTGAAACCACTTATCAGCAGAGCTCCTCCATCACCCCATGGAATGGTTACATTTATTATGAAAACATTGTTCAACTTTATCACAAGTTAAAATTCATGTACGTTCTGCCCAGAGGGTGCAGGCAGAAAAGCAGGCGATTTCCCCTATCACAACTCTCTCACTACATAGGATCGTATTTTGATAACTTTGCATTTGCACATCGTCCCTGGTCCTGTGAGTTTGAGTTTCTCAAATTCCTTCTTGAAGTGAGATGGAATACGAATGAAGATATGCACAAACAGCCTCAGAAGCATTTTTGCTCCAATTTGATGAGGGTTGCCACAAAACCACCGGTCTAACACGCTCCTGTTTACACGCCTTTTTGGGGGAACAATGACGGGTATAACGTCTGCTCTTGACTTAATGAATCCTATGGTGGTTGCTTCCAATGTTCACATCTTGTATCTCCCGTTCAGATCTGTACTCATCATGGAGATAAAAATGAGCCCATACGATCTTGCTCCCCTCCTCAATGAAGTGTAGGCGACTTTGTGGAATTCCCTAGGATCCTGGACTTGGCTATTGTCTGCTCCATCTGCTCTGGGCCACTGCTGGGGGTATGGGTACTTGCTGTCTTTGCTTCCTTGCCCCCTTCCTGACATTCCTTCTAGTTGATCGCTGAGGCTCCCCTGCGCTGCCTCCCCTCACTTTCGTGCACCGCCTCTCCTGCCAAGGCTGCAGGAAAGGGTGGATGTCAGCCCACTCTCTGGGGAGCAGGGCTGCCTCTCTCTTTGCTCAGGCTGGCTGTAGAGGTGCTCATGCCTCTCCTCTGCCCCCTTTGTTTGTAAATCGGAATCTCCAGGATTTCAGCTTGTAGGAACCTTAGAGACCAGCCAGGAGCTTCTGCATTTTTCAGAAGAAAAAACTGTCAGTCCATTGATTCATTCATAAGCATTTACCGAGTGTGTACCACATGCTAAGACTAGCTCCAAAATGTATCTGAATAAACTAAATATAATAATTCATGAGGTGAAAGCTGGTGGGGGGAGGGTTAGACCTATTTGCTGAGGTTCATCTAGGAGTCTGTCACAAATATCTACTTGTGCATAAGTGAGTTTATTTTCCTTTATCCTCACAGACAAGACTTGTGTCCATAAAGATCCATCCAGGGATGCTTACCCCTAAAATGACACTTCCGCCTTCCCCCCACTTACAGATCTGTTCTCACTGCCTCAGTCTCCAAGGCCAGCTGCCTCGAGGAATAATATCCATTTCCCTGTGGACCTTATAAGTCATACTCGGGGAAGAGGTGAGTCATCTAAACATGTTTTCTTCTGAATTTTAAGTTTTCCTGTTGCTTTTGAAGAATGCAGAAAGAGCCAGAAGGTAGATGTAAAGCGTGCAGGTTGCATCAAATCCGAATTCGTCCAGCAGCGATGGTTCAAAGTGAAGACTATCTGGGTTGGGAGAGAAAATAAAAGGAAACTTATGAGATAATGCTTGAGACAGATTGTCAATAGCCTGTGGAAAGTCCACTTCACTTGATCAGCTGGGCCGTTTGGAGCAGAATTTTGATTAAAGAAGACATTTCGGGCAGGGCTAGTGCCGACAGGCTGTCTGCACAACACATTGCTCAAAATGAATAAATGTGAGTCTCAGGGTCTGAGGCTGGGGGTGAAGTGGGGCTGTCAGGCAGAGGGAGGACCATGCTTCCTTCCTGCCAGACCAGCCCCCTGGTTTATCTGGACTTGCATATCCAAAGTAATCGACAGAGACTACAAATGCAGGGGAAAACCCCCACAAAACTTGACCAATCACATGGCACGGGAAAGCCTGGGGTCAGGGACTTAGGCTGCCTCCCTTCAACCACCCCAGGCTGGTACTGATGCCCTCACCTTGTCACCACAATGGTCTTCCCAGGCTCCGGGACCAGCTGTGCCAGGGATGTGGGGCTGGCTGTTCTCTTCAGACCCCTCCCATTGCCCGCTGACCCCCAAACACAGAAAACTAAAGAACTCCAAGGGAAGAAATGTTTGTACATAATTGAGTCAGGAAACCCTGACTTTCGATACTATGATACAGAAACTTCTAGAAAAAATATATTCTAGGGTCTGGGTTCAGGAAAAAACAGCTGATGCAGACTTCATTCTCCTTTTGGTCTACTGGACTCTGGAAAACGAAAGTTGCATCTGTAAAGGGGTGCAGTGCTCATCACAGGTAACCCTTACCCACGCAGGTGCGAGAAATCCCTTGACTTGGGACCCTATTGCATCTGCCTGGCCAGCCTGAATGCGCCACAGGCTGGATCTGGGGCGTGTGACTTTCTGCATGGGAAGAGCATTTGTGCTCATGAACAAAGGCTGCTGTTTGCTGGGGAGGGTCTGGATGGCCCCTAACGAACAAGCAGGGGCAGCTCGTGGTGATCAGGTCCAGTCTCTCCAGTCTGCAGCCCACGGGCTGTGTTTGGTGGGCAGCCTGGCTGAACTGCTGGGTCACGGCCATCACTCACTGGGTGGCTTCTCTCTGGGTGTGGCTGTGTTGGGGTATGGGTCTGGGTGGAGCAATGCCTTTTTGTGGTCCCTGGCTTCTGACACATCTTGGCTCACCTCAGGCCAGTCTTCAGCTTTTCAGTCACCCACAATTCCTATCAAAGCTTGCCGCTCTCTGTTCCCCTTCCTCGCAGCTAGCTTGGGTAGCAGGTAAGGAATCTGGGGCTAAATCATGCTCCAGAGGCACCAAGGGGTCATTGCATTGGCCGCTCCAAGGATGTCTTTGCCTTTTACTCATAACCTCCCAGAGAACCATCCAAAGGGGACAGGCACCATGTGAATTTCTAGAAGATGTGCCCAGCAGAGGCTTTGGAGTGCCTTCAGAACCATACTGCTAAAACTGGCTGATGTTCTAAGGATGCTGGAACTTATAAAGAAACAGCAAGGCAGGTCTTGGTTTCTTTCTGCCCACAGTGATCTTGGCCCTGTGTCTGATGGGGCTCAGCCATGTGACCCAAGAAGCCAGCTTTGTGTTTTGGAGCAGGCATTCAATAAGAACTTGCTGGTGCAAGAGCACCCGGGCTTGGACACTCTGGGGCGTGCCTGTGCGAGCCCCATTCATGTCCCTGCCCCCTGAGTCTCTTTTATTAGCTCTTCCACCCACCAACCACGAGCAGTCCCTCAGGAGTACACACCTTGGCTGAAGAATGCTGACACAGCTGGCTGGAAGACACGGGGCACCACTGGAAACATTTCCTCCTAAGTACATTTGGGGCTCACTCAGTGCATGGGCAACAGACTGACCCCAGTGGGGTCGTTGGGAGGGAAGGCAAGAGGCAGCCACTTCTGGGGCCAGGAAGGGAAATTAGGACAATTTATTATTTCCCTGTTGCACTGAATAAATATACTTCAAGATAAATTATTGGTGCCTGCAGCCTGCCTGATGCAACACCCTTAAGTGAAAGCAGACTTTAATGAACATATGCTCGCTTGCCCTCCCCTTCTCACTTCAAGTCTGCTATTAACTTTCTACGCACTTGGGAACCTTTGGCTCTTGGCCTAAATAATAGAAGAATAATTAGAATAATTACTGGAGAAGGCCGGGTCAAATTTCCAAGGATCTTCCCTTAACCACTTGGTTATCCTTATTTTATTTGCTTTTAAGAAATTCATAAAACCAGCCAAACATCGTTACTTTGCATCTAGAGGATTTGTTTTCTGTAAAATAAAATCATTGCGCTTTATCATGACTCCATCACTGAAAATAATCATAGTAATTAGTGCTTCTGTGCCCATCCAAGTGTACATGAAGTTTTTGTGCCAATTTTTCTATTTTGTATTTCTAAGTCAGCCTTCCATGGGATTACCTGGAAGATGGAACTCAGGTTAATCCAGCTCGCCTGAGCAGCTAGTGAGGACACAGGGATTTTGGCCACTTTCCCTGTTCACTTAGTTGTTTTTAAAGGAGAGAGGCTAGAAAAACTCAAATTCAGATGGAGGCTCCCTCACTGAGCCCATGTCCCATGGCAAAGGCCACAGGTGGGGATACGGGTCTGAGAGTGATATGGTTTGGCTGTGTCCTCACCCACATCTCATCTTGAATTCCCGTGAGTTGTGGGAGGGACCTGGTGGGAGGCGATTGAATTATGGGGGTGGGTCTGTCCTGTGCTGCTCTCATGATAGTGAGTGAGTGAGTCTCACGAGATCTGATGGCCGTGATAAGGGGAGCTCCCTGCACAAGCTCTCTTTCTTTGCCTGCTGCCATACATGTAAGATGGGACTTGCTCCTCCTTACCTTCTGCCATGATTAGAGGCTTCCCCAGCCACGTGGAACTGTAAGTCCAACTTAACCTTTTTCCTTTGGAAATTGCCCAGTCTCAGGTATGTCTTTATAAGCAGCATGAAAATGGACTAAGACAGGGAGTCGTGGCACCAGCCCTAAGTCCCTATCTCCATGAGCTGGCCTTCTGTGCCCTACATGGTAAAGGAGCTTCTTGGATGCTCCCCTGAACACACATAACATTGCGATTTTCATGGAGTTTCCTAAGTGCTACTAAGACCTCTAATGTTTCCATTACAGCATCTCTTCCCTGGGACCCCATGGCTGCACAGAGAGAACCCAGGGCTTGGCAGAATCAGGGCTGGGCTCGAATCCCAGCTCTAGATGTGTTAAGGCTGACACCCTGGGCATAGGCATCACCTGACTTCGTGGTGACTCTGTTTCATTATGTGTAGGATGGTAATAATAGTACCACTCACTTTATGTAGGGTTCCAAAAAATAACGTATTTACTAATGCACCTGACATGGAATAAAGGGGAATTCATGTGAGTATGCTATTTTGATGTCATCTCTTCATATCACGACCATTAAATAAAAGCAAAACAAAACAAAAACTGGACAGGGCATCTATGTGGCTCACCAGTGTGACCCTTCGTCTCTCGCTGCACTCTTGCCTGATGGTGTGATGGCATGATGGTAAGATGGCATGTACCCAGGGCTGTGTCTGTTTCCTCCCCCCAAATTTAAATGTCTGAAGATAATTCTGTTGACAGCAGATATAGGAGGGGAGGGAACACAGTGATTTCACATGCTTTAAAGCAAGGCAGACTGATGGAAAGCAGCCATTTGAAGATCAACGTTGCATTAAATCAACAGATATCCTGCTACCCCTCCAAGCCCTAGGAAGGTGCCACAGACAGGTCCCTCTGTGCTTGTCCTCAAGGAGCCAGGCCCTGGAAGAGACGCAGAAACTGGGGAAGAACTATGAGTGGCAGGTGTTCAGGGCAGAGGGTCACAGAGCCCAGTGTGAGCAGAAGGTTCCAGAATGCAGGGTGCTCTCTGCACACCTCTACCTCTACCCAATTAGCCATGCAGCCATCAGCATAGTCTGTGGTTGAGGATCACCGTGTAGCAGAGGTTGAGGGGCTGGGGCTCAGAGGGGCTCCTTGATGGCTAATGCTGGGGCCAGGGGAAGCACCCACCCCTGTGGATAGAGATGCCGCCAGGCTTCCCTCCAATGCCAAAGTGCCACATGGAAAGAGGCTTCCGGTCCCCTGCGTGCTCAGGAGTGAGTGACGGCTAATGGAACCTGCTTCAGCACAGCCAGGCACTCACCCAGCACGTCACTGCGGTTTTTAAATATTCCTCCTCCCTCATTTTTTGATAATTAATAATATGCATCAATAATGCCAAGCTCCCAATCTGAATCTACTATAAACTTGACAGACTCCCACAGTCTTTCTGTTGAGTTTGTTTCTACCCTAAAAACACCCGGGACCCTGACAGAGCAAGGCTCTCAGGAAAAGGATCACCCACGAGGCTTTAGCTGCATGGTGGGCACCAGACCAGCTAACTGGCATGGTTTCATCCTTCTGGTAGCAGAACTGGGGCAGGCAAGAGCAGCTCACACATGCCTTCCCCACCGCTGCAGATGGGCTGCAGCTTCATGTCTCGCTAAGATGCTGGTTAGTTTTCAAGGTTAATAAAATTATGGGTTTCGAGTCTGAAATCTTCATGTGCGGTTTCCCCCAAATTCCTTTCCGAGACCTGCTTACTCATGCAGATGGCAGTGCAACTCCAGCATCACGGTGTGCAGGCCGTCCCTGTGCCTCCCGAGTGTGAGAGATTCCTAAATGAGAACTTATTACCAGCCTGTCATTCTTCCGTAATTATCCACAGCCGGGATGCTTTCAGTTGTTTCCATATCATTTGGAATGACACAGAGAAGATATTACCCTTGTCTGTGTATCGCACACAGCAAGCTTTGCAGCAGGCACTCAGCCATTTGCATTTCGAAAGAGGCAGAGGCCTGACAGAGA